CATTCAGGGTGTTAGGGACCAGCCACCCCCCAAAACTCCCATCTACCCTTGATATATATCTGTATTGTACACTGTCAAGCAAGAGAATAAAGCAGACATATAAAGCAAACATAATAAGCCTTAAATAAGTAACGTGAAGCATAAATTAACACAGTTATTTACCTGTGTTGAGGATGGTAGAGATGGTCTAGGGTGGCAAGTTAAAGTCTTTACCAATCTTTGTTGGTCCATCACCACTCTTATTATGCCCATCACATCACATCATGATGCCCCTTTGAGGGGCAACGCAGGAGTAACTATCACTGTGGCATTTAGGCACGATTGCATAACACACAAGGTCGGAAATAACGTAAAAACACAAAATTAGAGACACATTAAGTGCGACAAGAGCAAAGATGGCAGGAATGAATCAGAGGCAGCGTGCAGAGCTCTCTCATGGCAGAAATTTGCACCACACCACAGCTCGCCAAATTCAAAACATCTCTGCCGCTCCTCTCCCGATTTTCAGATTTCTGGAGTATCAACAAACTTGCAGAGTATTTACCCTAAAAGTAATCGTCAGTTATACGAATTGGTGGTCAATGGGGTATGGGTTATAGCTGATTTTGGAGGAATTATTATTATTATTATTACAGTAAAGCCTCAGATAACAATGGTTCGACCAACAACTTTTCATATTTAAGAACCTAGTTAATTTAGGACCCAATTCAATGTACGTCCTTATTTCATTTGTATTTACGACCAAAATATAATATAAATAAAATTAAATTAAATTTTAATATACAGTAATACCTCGCTTTACGCGGTCAATTGAACCCACGGAGGCCCGCGTAAAGCGGGAAACGCGTAAAGTGAACAACAGAACATATGGGATTAATTGAAATAGAGACCGGGCCGACCCCCAAACTCCACTTTTTCAGACACAATACCTATGTTGTAGTAAAAATAACTTCTTAATTTTATGATGGTATGCACACACAATTAATAATTAAGAGAAATATCAATAATATCAGATTTTTTAACACTTACATTAGTAGAAAAGATGGCTGGGCACACGGGGATGGGGGGTTGGTTCCGAGGCAGAGGGCAGATTATTGGCCCTCACCTGTGTCACTTGTATCAATTGTATCACTATCCACCACAGAGGCTTGCAGGGCCTCTTTGTCAAACCCCTGAAAGTCCATATAAGTCCATGTCCTCACTATCACTGACTTAGGCTGGCTGTAGTGGGTGGCAGGTGAAGAACTCGGTAATGTTTTGATGACTGGGTGACCTTGTGCGCACCCTGCCCGCGCCGTTCCCGTGTATATGAGTAGATGCACCGCGTAAAGTGAACATTCCGGTTCTGGCGGGGTACCGCGTAAATGTAGAAACGCGTAAAAAAAACCGCGTAAAGCAGGGTATTACTGTAAATAATAATTAAATCCCAATATGTATTAGAAAAAAAAATTACTATAAAAAATATTAAGAGCTGCCTTGCTAATGAGTGGTAAACAACAGTCAGAGCTTGACGGTCCTTTTGTTTTCATGCATCTGGAACAGGAACAGGAGAAAAACTTTCTCAGGTTTCTTACAGCATTTTTGCATCCCTATTCAACATGAGCAAGAGAGCAAGTGATGGTAGTGTTGTTTCAAAAGCTAATAGAAAGTGTATAAGCTTAGCCGAGAAACTAGATGTGTTAAAACGATATGAAAAAGGTGAGAGGTCTGTGGATATTATATGGAGCAAGCAATGAACATATTTTCTGAAATGGATCCATTAACAGAACAAAGCATTAAAATTTAAATAAACGCAAATGACCTCTACATAAAGATGTATAATGAGAAATGAAAGCAGCTGTGCAAGGTTCTTTTGACAGCTTTATTATTCGAGGGCCTAAACCATCAACTTCAGCTACACCACCAAATTCAGCATCATAAGCAGCTTCAACATCAGGTTCATTAAAAGTTTCAGCAACAGCTTTATGGAAAGCTACAGCTTCAGCTAGAGTTGAACCTGATGACTTCGTCATCTGAGTAAAAACTCACACAACATCATTGGCTGTCCTTATGTTTTCGACTTTACCACTATTGGTGAGTAGAATTTTTGTTTTACATTCGTAAATATTATTTAAAACATATATGAACAGTAAATAAGTGTTGCTTTCATATTCATATGTAGAGAAATGACGATATGTTTTCACATGTACGCACTAACTGTTCATACGTTGGCGTTCCCAATCATCTCGCCTTATTTCTTTACCATTAGAGGTTAGCTACTTCTAGTGTTCCATTTATTAACATTAAATAACATTACTTAAAACATACATACAGGTATTCAATTTTGTGAAATTAAGTTCACTACAGCTACAACCAGGGTCTTATTTTCTTCAGTTTCTTATGTAGAACCATCGTCACTCACGAAAACAATGCCGTCTTGTCTCCTCGTGTGTGTTTTAATATTCTACGTATCAATGAATTGCATTGTTCATTTCACATATATAAACATTAATTCAATCAAATACATATTCAGTAATGAACAATAATGAATCTTTTGTACATATTCTTAAGATAAATGACTATGTTTCCTTGAGTGCGCACGTACTGTATACATTGGCGTTCCACTATCAGTCTCACTTTTTCTTTAATGTCAGAGGTTACTTCTACTGTACATTAAATAACATTAATTAAAACATACATATTATCTTACATTAATTTTACGACAACAACAACCAGGGTCTTATTTTCTTCAGTTTCAGGTGGATAACTGACATTATGGGTGTAAACACTGACAACGATGCCGTCTCTTATCCTCTTGTGTGTTTTATTATTCTACGTATTATTAATGAATTTTATTGTTCATTTCGCATATACTGTATAAAGATTAATTCAATCAAATACATATTCAATAATAAACAATAATGAATCTTTTGTACATATTCTTAAAAAGACAAATGACGCGGTATCCTTAAATGTGCAAGTATATGTTGGTGTTCCCAATTCATCTCTTTTTTTCTTCTTTGCCATTACTGGTTAGCTACTTCTATTGTTCCATTTATTAACATTGAATAACGTTACTTAAAACATATACAGTAGTACCCCGCTTAACGCGGTCAATAAAACCCACAGGGTACCGTGTTAAGTGAAAACCGCGCTAAGTGAACAACAGAACATATGGGATTAAATGAAATAGAGACCAGCTGACCCCCAAACTCCACTTTTTCCAACACAATACCTATGTTCTAGTAAAAATAACATCTTAATTTTATGATGGTACATGCACACAATTAATACTTAAGAGAAATAGAGAAATACAGTCGCCAAGTTAATGTCCATTCAAATAATGGACTCAACTCCCTCCCCCTCTTCTCACACTACACTCGCTGGCTCTTCCCTCTCTGAGAAATTTTGGGGGGAAAAACCACTAAAATTTAATAATACCTCAAACTAAAGTTAGGATAATACAATTGACATTGCTGGATTCCTTGTAAGACCAGGAATATTTTGAATATAAATGTCATATATTTTGCACAAAAGATAACATATTTACTCAGAGTAAACATTATATCTAAAATTTGTATGTCAAATGCAAAATCTATGATGTTTATATTCAAAATGATCACCAAATTGTAAGAATTCCAGCAATGTAAATTATATTCTGGCCGGGTAATTTGTATGAATTTTATGAGCTAAAACAAATATCTTCAGTTAATAAAAAAAAAAATATTCTTCACGACAGTATCTGTCAATCAAAGTACCCCACCTTGCCTCCCCCCCTCTTCCAACCGCGTGGTCCGTCCCAACCCTCCCCCCCACCCCCCACCAACCCTCCCTACCAGATGTGTGGGAAAACCAGAATATTTACCTTTTTAGTAATAAATAATACCTCAAACTAAAGTTAGGATAATATAATTGACATTGCTGGATTCCTTGTAAGACCAGGAATATTTTGAATATAAATGTCATATATTTTGCACAAAATATAACATATTTACTCAGAGTAAACATTATATCTAAAATTTGTATGTCTAATGCAAAATCTATGATGTTTATATTCAAAATGATCATCATATTGTAAGAATTCCAGCAATGTAAATTATATTCTGACCGGGTAATATGTATGAATTTTATGAGCTAGGCAGGCAGGCAGGCAGGCAGGCAGGCAGGCAGGCAGGCAGGCAGGCAGGGTGGCGGGTGGGGCGAATCTAAAAATAGCGTCTCGAGCCGGACACTCTGCTCGTATACGTGGAAAAAACCCGCGTTAAGTGAAAGTTCAGCTCTGGCGAGGCACCGCGTATACGTGAAATCGCGCTAAGCGAAACCGTGTTAAGCGGGGTATTACTGTATATTATATTTTACATTAATTTTACTACAGCTACAACCAGGGTCTTATTTTCTTCATTTTCTCGTGTAGAACTATCATCCCGGACTCCCGGCTGTAAACACAAACGAAAACAATGGCGTTCCATCTCCTCTTGTGTGACCATATTATTATTCATTTATATTGTATAAGGTGCATTCAGAAACATTATTTAAAGAATATAGTTTGCAATTTCATTAATTGTATTGTTTTGGGGGCAAAAGAGGGTAAAAAGCCACACAAAAGATATGAAAAGGTCACACTTGGGAAGGCATCTCATTATTATTGCTTTATTTTAATGGTAATTAATGATTCGCGATAAGACGATTCACCTTACACTGCAATATTGGAGGACACATTACTGTCGTTATTCGAGGCTTTACTGTATTATTATTATTATTATTATTATTATTATTATTATTATTATTATTATTATTATTATTATTATTATTATTTTTATTAATATCATTGTTATTATTATTATTATTATTTTTCTTATCATTGTTATTATTATTTCATGTTGGTGCCGGTTAGTTGAATCTGCCAGTTACCCGGATACAGTAACTGGGATTCTACTGTAATTACATTGATAAAATTATTTACCAAGAACTTACTTTATAATTCATTGTTATAATAAAAAATAATAAATATAAAGGCTTACCTGAAAGTTGGGAGAACATTAGTTGTGCTACACCAGTGGCCTCAGTATCTTCAGAGCATATATCACAGATGTCTTCCCATTCATTAACTGTCTGTAAATTTGATCCACACATACATTAAGCAGCCAATATATGGTTTTGACCCAACACACCTACTCCTACTACTACTTCTACAGGTATTATCACAATACTGTTGGCTTGGTAAAATCAGGTACAAATTATCTTTTAGCTTTTATTAAGGAGTCAAATAAAGTAAGTAGAATCCCAGTTATCTGGCACCTATGGGGATTGATAGGTGCCGAATAAAGAGATTTTCCAGTCAGTTGAATCTAACTCTTAGAGTCCCCCAATAAACTGTACAATGCAGTGTGCTACAGGCTGACCTCACAATGCAGTGTGCTACAGGCTGACCTCACAATGCAGTGTGCTACAGGCTGACCTCACAATGCAGTGTGCTACAGGCTGACCTCACAATGCAGTGTGCTACAGGCTGACCTCACAATGCAGTGTGCTACAGGCTGACCTCACAATGCAGTGTGCTACAGGCTGACCTCACAATGCAGTGTGCTACAGGCTGACCTCACAATGCAGTGTGCTACAGGCTGACCTCACAATGCAGTGTGCTACAGGCTGACCTCACAATGCAGTGTGCTACAGGCTGACCTCACAATGCAGTGTGCTACAGGCTGACCTCACAATGCAGTGTGCTACAGGCTGACCTCACAATGCAGTGTGCTACAGGCTGACCTCACAATGCAGTGTGCTACAGGCTGACCTCACAAAGTCGTGTCTCAAAAGTAAATTTTTTCACACATCTGTCCACTTTCAAGACTGTTCCCAATTACCGTGTTTTTTTGCTTGTTCGTGCTCGTTTGAAAAAAATATATATATATACAGTGGTCCCTCGGTTAACGAACTCAATTCATTCCAGAGGGTTATTTGTTAACCAAAAACATTGTTTCAATGGGATTTTGGGTAATTGGTTCCAGTTCATCAAAAATTTCATACAGTACAGTATAGTCTCGGTTTACACTGTCAATTAAACTCGTGGAGGTCTGCGCAAAACGAGAAACGCGTAAATGAAATAACAGAACATATGAGATTAATTGAAATAGATACTGGGCAGACCCCCAGACTACCCTTTTTCCGACACAATATGTACATTGTAGTAAAAATAACATCTTAATTTTATGATGGTATGCACACACAATTAATATTTAAGAGAAATATCAATAATATTAGGATTTTTAACACTTACATTAGTAGAAAAGATGACTGGGCACACAGGGATGGGGGGTTGGTTCCGAGGCAGAGGGCAGATTATTGGCCCTCACCTGTATCACTTGTCTCACCTGTATCACTATCCACCACAGAGGCTAGCAGGGCCTCCTTGTCAAACCCCTCAAAGTCCATATCCTCACTATCACTGACTTGGGCTGGCTGTAGTGGGTGGCAGGTGAAGAACTCGGTAATGTTTTGTTGACTGGGCAAGCAAGGTTAAATAGACCAATCACAGCGCTCGGCGGAGGGGGTGCGTGGGTGGTAAGGATACGTGGCCCAATCACAGTCCGAAACGTCATCTGACGTCAGCAGTGACGTCAGAGCGACCTAGCGCGCACCTTGTCCGCGCCGCTTCCCGCATAAATGCTGGAATGTACCGCGTAACTAATAATTGGCGCGTCTGGCCAGGTGCCGCGTATATGACCAATCCCGTAAAGGAAATCCGAGTAAACCGAGACTATACTGTACAAAGTAAAAAAAAAAAGCAGTAAAGTACATTTACTTTGAGGTGTGTATGTAGAAGGCTCCTGGTTGATGATGTGGAGGTGGAGGAGGAGAAGGGAGAAGAGGAGAAACATTTTACTGCTTCTTGGAAGGCGAATCACCTTCCATAAAATGTCAGGAACCTCTGAACTGACAGATTCTCCAGCAGGAAAATCCTCTCTCCTTTTTGAAGTGGAAGGCTGAGGGGAAGCATCTTTCTCCCGCTGCCTTTTGGAGAAGAAACTGTCAATTTTTGGTTGTGGGGAATTTCTCCTCATCATCATTAGTCTGTTCTTGTAGAAGGAGAGCACTTTGTCCTCAACAGTACACAAAATAGGTTCTGTTGTTTCCACATCAGGGTGCCTTGAAGCCAGTTTCCTGAACATCTCCCAGTGGTAAACAACATCTTTTAAGTCTGAAGAAGACATATTGTCATCATATTCCCTTTCCTCCTCACCACTGTCAGCTTCTAACATCTCATCCAGTTTCTGCAAGTCTTCAGGAGTAAGTTCCTCCTCAGGATGTTGTATTGTGTCTTCCAGAACTGTGCCAGTGTTAGATTGGGATCAGTGGATGGCACCTGATGACACCTTCTGAACATTTTCTTCATGTACGGCTTCTTAAAGTTGCTGATCACATTCTTATCCATTGGCTGTATAATTGATGTAATGTTGGGAGGCAAAAACAACACTGTGACAAAGTCAAATCAAGCCTCCAAAGTGCTGGCAAGTTCAGGGTCATGACCAGGATCATTATCCATAAGGAGAAGAGCCTTTAAAGGAAGTTTATTGGTGGTTAGGTAGCTCTTGACAGAAGGGCAAAACACCTCAACAGCCCATTCATTAGAGAGCTGTCTTGTCACCCATGCCTTACGGTTCGACTTCCAATAAACTCCAAGCCATCCTCTTACCACCTTCTGTTGCTTGAACACCCTGGGGTTCTCAGAGTGGTAGAAAAGCATAGGCTTCAGTCGGAAATCCCCTGAAGCATTGGCACCAAGCGATAGAGTGAGACGGTCCTTCATGGGTTTATGCCCAGGTAAAGAGGCTTCATCTCTGGTGATGAATGTCCTTTTGGGCATTTTCTTCCAGAACAGCTCAGTTCCGTCCACATTAAACACTTGCTGTGGAAGATAATTTTCTTCCTCCACCAGTTCCTTAAACTCCACTACAAATTTTGCTGCTCCTTCTTTATCTGCACTGGCAACCTCACCATGCCTAACAACACGAAAAATGTTACTTCTTTTCTTAAATTTTTTGAACCAGCCCGTTCTGGCCCTAAACTCTTCAAACCCAGTTTCAGAGGAACTAGGTTGCTCTTCCTTTAAATGTTCATAAATCTCCCTGGCTCTTTCACAAATAAATTCAGTAGAAACTGAATCACCTTTTATTTGTTTTTCCCAATCCAAATAAAAAGTAACCTCTCCGTTTCTGCTATTAATGATCTACCTTTAAACACTCGGGTAGATTTGTCTCTCACTTTCACTCCTTTAAATTTGTCTTTCTGTGCAAGAATTGTCAACACAGTTGATGCCGACATGCAATATTCCTTACTAAGCACATTTGTTCTAATGCCTTCTTCATGTTTCTTAATTATTTCCTGTTTAACTTGAATTGAAATCACCTTTCTCGATTTCTTTGGACCCATGCTGGATTCAAAACAGGGTACAGTAATTTCAACTCTAAAATTTTAAGTTCACTGGCTGTAATTAAAGATAATTTTCTTTATATCAACACTAAACTGCACTATATATTATCAATATGTTAAATAAATTTCAGAATGTCCAATAATTGTACTGTAAAACTGTAAAAAATACTGTGTTCAAGAGAGTCACAAGCAAGAGGTTACCTCCACTGAAAAGAGACACAACCTGACATCTTGGTGGGTGAGTGAAGTGGCTGATGGGCGCACCAAAAACTAGTTCCCTGTACTGCAATTATGTTAAATAAGTGTTAAAATGACTAATAATTTTAATATAAAACTTGGACAATTATTGAATAGCACAACTTTCTTGATATTTACTCCAATTTTAATGAATGTAAGCCCTAGAACCGATTTCTGTATTGGCGGACTAATCTTCCAGCTGGTGAGCAAGCCAAAGCATGTTGAAATGTTTTCGTAAGAATTTCGTTAACCGAATTTTTGTTTGTTAACCGAAATGAAGATTCTTATGGAAGGTAATTCGTTAACCAAAATTTCGTTAACCGAGGGACCACTGTATACAGTACAGTCTGGTTTTACGTGGTTAATTAAACCCATGGAGGTCCGCATATAAAGAGAAACGCATAAATAAAATAACAGAACCTATGGGATTAATTGAAATAGAGACTGGGCCGACCGCCAGACTACCCTTTTTTGGCTATCGCCAACACAATACAGTGGTCCCTCGGTTAACAAACTGTTCAACGAATTACCTTCCATAAGAACAAAAAATTCGATTACCGTATTTTTCGGCTTAAAAGACGCACTTTTTATGACATAAATATACCTCGAAAATTACCATGTGTCTTCCAGGACACTAGTTGATGAGTTGTAGCAGAGGTTTTTGAAATCAGCGCCTTACAAAGATTGTTACCTCATTACAGTACTTTACAATGACAAGTATTCTCTATTCAGTACTATAAAACTATTGATTTAACTCATATTGTTGATATATTGCAAAAAAACAACCCTTGCTGCTGTGTGGTTTGTTTACTAATGGTCGTGGTGCGACAGCGCCATCTATTGAGGAATTGCTAAAGGTTGTCTGCTGGTCTCAAATGCAGGAATATTTGTTTCTTTATATGTAGGCTCTCACATTTGGACACCTATTTACAGTAGGCTCTCATATTTGGATACCCATTTAGACTGTAAAAACTCCACAAAATTAAAATCTTCCAAATTTAACTACAAGTTCGTCATCCAAGTCAAAACACACACACAACAACATTGGCTGTCCTTATGTTTTCAACTTTACCACCACTGGTGGGTAGAATTTTTTTTTAATTCAGAAACATTAATTGAAACATATATGAACAGTAAATAAGTGTTGCTTTCATATTCTTATGTAGAGTAATGACGATATGTTTACACATGTGCTCACTTATGTACATGATCTCACTTTTTTTTTACCCGTAATTGTTAGCTACTTCCATTGTTCCATTTATTAACATTAAATAACATTACTTAAAACAACCATATTAATTTTTCTACATTAATTTTAATACAGCTACAATGGAGGACTTATTTTCTTCAGTTTTATAATTATGTAGAACCAATCAGTCCCTGGTTTTGCAAAAAACGAGTTGGTTTTTTACTTTTATTTTGTTTTTAAATAAAGATTTTTTGTT